CTGGGGTGGATTGTGGCCTGGGGCCACCCCTGCACCCTCCTGACGCTGAGCCAGGGGCAGGGCAGGGCCAGCCCTCGGGCTAAAGCTCCAGATTCAGGAGACCATCTGGGGCCAGTGACTATTTCCCCAAGGTAGACGGGCCTGAACCTCACCTCCACCCATGGGATACCTCCTACGGGACCTGTTGGGGTCCCAGAGACACAACAGGTTCAGGCCACCCAGCAGAAGGGAACAGTTTTTTCCTGCAGGCAGATCCTCCCTGGGCCTGGCCCTTGGCCCAGGGTTCCCAGCCTTGGCTGCGAGATCGTCCAGAGGGGAAGCAGGAGGGCCCTCTGCCTCTGTCCTCTGCTCCCCAGGGACCAGAGTCCCTGGGGTGCTGGGCTCTTCCGACCCAGAGGGGCAGTAGTCCTGGTCTGCTTGTGCCCACGTCCTCTCCTCCGGGCCCTAGGCCTCCAGTTTCTCTGACCATTAGCCCACCCTTGAGAGCCCGGGAGCAATGCTGGGTGAGACTTGGCCCCTGGCTCCCACGCAGCAGGCCGAGCTCACGGCTCAGCCAGAAAGCTGTGTCTCTGTCTCACAGGCTGTCTGTCCCAGCCGGCTGGAGGGCTGGAGGGTCGGGAGATTGGACAGGGACCGAAGCGCCCAGGAGTGTGGAGGGCGGGGCGGGGCAGGAGGAGAGAGGTGAGGAGAGGTCATTCCTGAACCAGGCAGGGAGTGTGCCGCGTCTGCGCCAGGCAGGGAGAGTATGTCAGATGGAGGCTCTGAAATTGCAAACCTTGTAGGCCAACCTACGAGGGCAGCTCTTCCCTAAGCCAACGGGCGGCGCAATACAACGCAACAAACTGTACATATCCTTATAATGAATCCGGCAACTGGAAAGGAAACGGCATAGGTTATGGCAACCGAGGCGCGATGAGTCTGCCCTGCCCGCCCACCCAGCCTGATGGGCAGATGTGCGGGTGGAGGGGGCAGCTGGACAGGCAGCTCCCTGTGGGGCCCGGGGCTGGGAGCCCCCAGAGCAGGACAGGAGTCAGTCTGTGAGCCCCACTCTACACACACAACCACAGTGTCCCTGCCCCGTGCTCCCCGCCCTCTGGCAGCCCCATCTCATGGGTGCCTGAGCTACCAGGGTCTCTCCTGACTACCCTCACCTCCCTGAGCGGGCAGCCCTCCCCTGGAATCTGAGGTCCAGCGAAGGACCCTAGCCCCAGGGTCCGCTTCTCTTCCCTGCACTATGCAGCTCAGTCTAGTCAGCTCCAAGCTGTGAGGTCTTACTTCTGGAGAAAGGGGAAGAAAGAGGGAGCCCCACTGTGGCCTCCCCCAAAGTGCACACCAACCTCACGGGACCTGAGGACCAACGCTAAAGGGCTGGGAGTGCAGTGGAGCCCAGCCTGACAGTCATCTGGCCTCAATCCACAGCCAGGTCTGGATTCATCTCTCTTCTGCCAGCAAACCGCTCAGATGCCACCAGACTAAAAGGGTGAGCCTGATACTGTCACTTGAATTCAGAAACTATCCCTACGGTCAATGAAGTAGGCAAAGTGGCTTGTTTAACCCAAAGTTCAAGGCCTTTCTCAATCTGTTCTCCTTGCCTTTTGCTACACTCTCTCCGCTCCCGCAGGACATGCTTGGCGCCCATCACCTGCACCTCCACCTGCCCTGGAGCTCTAGCTATCTGTCCATCTGTCCATCTGGCTCAAATGCCACCTCCTCTGACTCTCCAGCCCGACTGCATCTCCTGCCTCAGCTGCAACCTGGCCCCGTGCTCTGGCTCCTCTTTCCCCCGAGTGGGTACAGAGACGACTGGCCCCCGGGCCCAGCACACACAGGTGCTCAGCATGCTGATGGGACGGGATGGACACAGACGGGCTGTGGCACTCACAGTGGGTGTGACTGTGATGCTCCTTTCTGTCCACTCACCACAAAGTGTCGAAGCAACAACGGGGGAGGGGCAAGGGAGCAGCAGCCCCAAGTCTTTCCCCTCTCCCCCAGCCACCATGTGTGTGCACATGAGCACACTCATGCACACAGGCGCTCACACGCAGTGCACACACAGGCATGCACTCACAACTACATGTGCACATGGGTGTGCACACGTTCTCACACCCACACAGGTATGTGTGCAAACACACACTCATGTGACACTGCAGTGTCCTCGGGGAGTAAAGAGGACCCATCCTTTACTGCATCTGTCAAGGCCAGTGACACACTCACGGCATCATCTGACCACCCAGGACATGGGGTCAAGACCCAACCTGCTCGGAGGCTTCTGCCTCCCCTCCCGGCATCTGGCAGCGACCTGTGTTCCCGCCTGGGCCTCCTGGGGACAGTGCGTGTGCGTGTGTGTGTGGCTGGGCCATCTCTGCTGCTATAGACTGGGGTCTGTGTGGCCTGCCGGACGCCACCTCCAGGTTTTTTGCACCTGCTCTCCCATAGCACTTTCTTCCCACATCCTCAACAGCTGTGGCTCCCAAGGGCCCCAGCTGGACACTCTGTGTATGGTCACAGCCATGGTTGGCCCGAGTTCACCTCCTGAGTCCTGCCTCTGCTCCACCTGCGCTGACAAGGGGTCCTGGGTCTGCGGTTCATACAGCCTGGGACACTGTCCCCACTCCCAGGCCTGCACCGACCGGCTACCCACTGGTCCAAGTTCCACCTCAAACAATCCGACTTTCTGCAACATAATCTCCACCAGGAACAGCAGCGCCTGCTGAGCCCACGCGGGAGGGCGTCCTGAGTGAGTCTCACCTTGCCTCCGCCGCAGTCTCTGTGGCCGGTGCTGAGGGGACCAGGACTCGGTGTGGCCACTCTGCCCTCCGGCCTGGCAGCCCCCTGACCAGAGAACCCGTGACCATCTCTCAGTCAGGAAATGAGAGGGCTCTCCAAGGCCACAGAAACGGCCACACACACCAGGAAACATGGCTAACAGCTGTGCTTATCTCGCACCATTTGAAAACTGTAGGTTTTTCACAATGGAAAACACCCTGAGACGCTGTGGCCTGGAGGTGCTGGGCCCTGGTGCCGCTAGGACTGGCCCAGATGGGAAAGGGCCTCACAGAGCACCTCTGGGTCCTCACTGATGAGGTGGGGCTCCGGGGAGGCTGGTTGATAGGGGGTGAGGGAGACTGTGGGGCCTGGGGTCAGGGAGCTCCGGAGCGTTGTCTATGAGCTTCAACTAGAGAAGGGCAGCTGGTGTTCCCTGTGAGGACACTGCGTGCCTCCCTCAGGCTCGGCCACACAAGGGCGGTGAGAGGAGGGCATGGCAGGATGGTGAGCCTTGAGGACGGTAGGCAGGACAGGTGTGCACCCAGCTCGGGTTTCCCATCCCCCAGCCCAGGAAGTCATAGCACCCTCCCTTCACTGGGGCTCAGGCGCGGCTCATGTGCCTGTCTCCTGAACGCTCCCCTGAGCAGGGCACCGCAGGCCTGTGCACGCCTGGAAGCCAGGTGTCCCAGCCCCTCCACGTCCTGCCTTTCAGAGAGCATGCCCTCCGACTGCCAGTAACTGCCAGGGAGGGGAACCAGCGAACGAGCAGGTGCATGAGTGAGTGATGAGGGACCCACCGGCAGGCAGGGCATCTGCTGCTCTGCCAGCCTGTGTCGAGTCCACTGTGGGAGTGCAGGGCTCCCCCAGAACATGGTCTCAGGCCACCTGCTGACCCCAACTCACACCCTTCACGAGACCCCTGCTCTGCCTGGAAATGAACCACCCCTTCATACAACAGCACAGAAAAGCTTCCCCCCTCAAAACCCTTCCTGGCAACTCCCTGGATTTTAATAGGAGTTCACGACACACCCACTCCTTGCAGCTGAACTGGGGGCAGAGGGACCCACTGGCCCTGTCCTGAGAGACAACAGAGAGCCCCGAGCCCGCCAAGAGGATGTCCTGTGGCCCACATTACGTTGCCCACGGAGGCCTCCGAGCTCTACGAGGATGAGGCGGCCTGAGAGAGGGTCGCCTGCTGTCTCCACGACCTCCCTCAGGGCCCTCCATGACCTGACGCAACGGGCCTCTCGGGAAAAACCCCAGTCTCTCAAGTGCTCTGAACATGTTCCACGACCCCCAGGTTAAGATCCTAAGGGCTGGACTCAGGGTTCAAAGAGGGTTTCTCAGCCTGAGGAGCTGCCTAAGAGCACATGGAGGTGGGGAGGAGAGCACCACCCCGGAAGGAGACCCGCACGGGCAGGAACCCGGGCCCCACAGCCCGAGGGGGACGCTCACTTGAAACACGTCTGAAGCCACCCAACCTGTCTTGACACCCATGGGTCTGGACCCCCCCTGAGGACCACCAAGCGGGCGGCTCACTCACCACGCAGCGGGGTCGTACTCAGCCCAGACCCTGATGAACTCGTCCAGGTGGTGAGGCCCTAGGATGGAAGAGTCCCGCGTGAGGTACTCAAAATTGTCCATGATCACAGCCACAAACAGGTTCAACATCTGCAGGACAGGAAGGAGAAGAGGCGACATGGAGAGACCTCCGCCTGCCCTCTCCCAGCACCCCTCACCCTCAGCCAGTCTGTGTGAAACCATCGGGGTGGCCGAGGTCACTGTGACTCAGCCAGGGCCTGCCCGGACCTGCTCTCCCTGCAGCCTGGCCCGTGGGCACTGCCACCAGCAGCCGCTGCAGCCTGAGAGCCCAGCACTAACCACACGGAGTCTGAGCCTGCGGCTGTCCACCCTCCTGCGTCAGGGTCAGCCGCCGCGCTCTGCCGCCCACCCTCCCCCCTCTTGAGCCGGCCTCGGGGACAGCAGCGACTCTGGAGGATTCAGAGCTTGGTCACAGGAGGCCAAGAGCTCGGCTTCCTCTTCACAGAACACACCACGGACCACTCTGAGTGTGCAGCTCAGTGCCACCTGGTGCCTTTGCTACGTGTAGAGCCACCGCCGGCCCCGTTTCACATTTTCTTCATGACCCCAGAAGAACACCTGGTGCTGTTACGTAATCACTACCCCGGGACCCTCCATTCCCAAAACCAGCTCCTTTCTGTGGCATGGACAGGTCGATCTGGGACATTCCTTATCCAAGGAATCACACAACATGTGACTGTGCGCCTGGCTCCCTTCACGGGGGTGATGTCTTCGGGACTCGTTCACACGGCAGTGAGTCGGTCCCGTTCCTGTTCCTGGCTGACAGATCCTGACGCAGGTGCACACGGCTGTCTGTCCATCCCTCCTGCCACGGGCGCCTGGGCCGCTCCACCTCTTGGCTGTCACGGTTCCATTTCTCTCGAGTGGAGCTGCTGGGTCAGTGCTGATTCTAGGCTCAGTTTTTTGAGGAAAGTCTAAACTGCTTTCACAGAAGCTGCCGTTTGCATTCCTGTTATGTTCCACTTAAGAGGGTTCTCGTGCCGGCCGCCCGGTGGGCGCGGAGGACACCTCGCTGTAGTTCTGAGCGCTTCCTCGATGCCCGAGAGGCTGCGCAGCGTCACGTACTCGCGGGCTCTCTGTATATTTTTCTTAGGGAAGACGTCCGTTCTGATTCTTTGCCCAATTTTAGGTGTTGAACATAAGAGCTCTTTATGTGTTTTGGACATTAACTTCCACAAAATATATGATTTGTAAAGATTCTCTCCCCACCCTTAGGCTGTAATTTTACATGATTGATAACGTTTTTTGAGGCATAGAAGTGTTTTTTGACTTTACAACAACTTACTAGATTGATACGGTGCCAGCTGTAGCTGTGGACTAGGGGCCCCGCCTCCCACACTCCGTGTGCTTCTGAAGGAGTCAATCCTGGTGGCCCCAACCCCAGCCCCCCCACTCCTGGGACAACGTTCACCTGCCAGGAGGCTTAAAAAGAAAAGGCCTCAGGTGTGAGGTGAGGAGAGGCCCGCCCAAGGAGACGGGCGCCCGGCAGCTTCTGCAATGCCACCTTTTCCTCCTGTCTCTGATTCTCCTGCAAACCCACCTTCAGACTTCAGAGCCCAGAATTCAGGCACCGATTTTATCATCAAGGGAAGGGAGGGGAGGGGACACAGAGGGGGGTGAGGGCACAGACACTGAGGTCCTGACCCCCAGGAAGAGCAGTTTCTAAGCCCTCTGTTCCCGGTGGGTGGTCCCCTTGCCCCCCGCTGATCTGGGTGTGGCCTGGATACTCCTTTAAATCTTTTTCCCCGTTAGAGACCATATTGCATTTCCCCCCCATTATCAGCACCGACCATGGAGGTGGCTACGCAGATGCCTCTCGAGACATACTCCTGACCCCGTAGTTGCCTCTCGCAATAGTGCTGGCCAGGCAGCTGCCTCTCCCACAGCCCCCTCACGACACTGGGGCCTCTCTCTAGTTTCCTCCTCTCGAGATGGCGCCCAGCCAGGAGGCTGCCTCTGGCAACAGAAGCTTTCTGTTTCAACACAAGAGTTTTTAACTTTGAGTAGTTTAGCTTGTCTTTTCTTTTGTTGCTCATGATTTTGGTATCAAAACGATCTTAGAATCCTTAGCCAAGGCTGAGGTCTTGACGCTTTTCCTTCTGTATTTCCTCCTAAGAGTTTTGTAATTTAAGCTCTTATATTTTGGTCTTTAACCGACTCAGTTAATTTTATATACAGAGTGAGGCCTGGGCCCAACGTCACTGTTTCACGGGTGGAATTCCAGCTGTCTCCTCACACTTGTTGAAAAAACTCTTCTTTCCACATGGAACACTCTTGGCATCCTTGACAAAAACCAACTGACTGCAGACGTTAGGGTCTATTTCTAGACTCTCAACCCTACTCCACTGGTCTCTATGTCGATCTCCATGCAAGCACCACATCGCTCCCACCCAGCTTTACTGAGGTGCGACTGGTGAACAAAATGGTGAGACAATCCCAGTGCAGCCGTGGGGATCCGATGCTCCTGCACATGTGAAAGGGCCCACGAGCTAGTCAGTCAACACGGCCATCACCGCGGTTACCCTCTTCCCGTAGACCATGTAAGGCCAGCTTAGAGCTGGAAGCCTGTACCCTGTACCCACTTCTCTTTATTTCCCCCATCCCCAGCCACTGGAAACAACTTCCAACTTTTCTACTCTTTCTGAGTTTGCCCCCCCCCCCCC